GAATGTTCGTACAATGTGGGAGACCTGGTGAGTCTTCCAAATTGCTGCAGAAATGAGAAGATACAACCTAGAGGTGCTTGGGATTGGTGAAACACAATGGACGCATTTGGACAACAGCGATTAGCGTCAGGGAAGATTCTGCTATACTCCGGCCATGAAGACGAAAATGCCCTTTAATACCCAAGACGTTGCATTGATGCCTTCCAAGCAAGCACAAAATGAACTTATAGGATAGGAATCTCATAGACCAAGAATCATCAAAACCTCCCTCAAAACAAAGAAAGAGCGCATTTCAATGAACGTTATCCAATGCTATGCGCATATCAACGGCCACAATGAAGACTCTAATGATCAATTCTACGATAGGCTGCAGTCAATCATCGAGAAGTGCCGAACAAAGGACCTGACCATTCTGATGGGATACCTGAATGCCAAGGTTGGAATGGACAACACCGGATATGAAGACGACAATGCTGAGAGAGTTGCAAACTTATGTGCCTTCAATAAGCTGGTCATAGGCGGCACTATATTCCCACATAAGTGCATTCACAAAAGCACATGAACTTCACAGTATCATACTACGCAAAACCAAATCGACCATATTTGCGTCCACAAAATGTTCAGGAGGAAGATGGAATACGTGAGAACCAAGAGGGGAGCTGAAATAACATCAGGTCATCACTTGCTGGTCGCCAAGATGAAATTGAAACTCAAGAAGCACTAGACAACGGGGCGGACAATATCACAAAAGTTTAATATGGCTTTTTACGGGATACTGACAAACTCAACAAATTCAAGATAGTCCTCAGAAATAAGTTCGATGGAGACGGAACTACTATGGAGAGCAACTGAAAATGTATAAAAGAGACAATCACTTCAACATGTCATGAGATTCTGTGTCACAAGAAGTAACATCACAAGGAATGGATCACTGTTCATACACTGGATAAGATTCAAGGAAGGAGAAACAAGAAGGCAGCAATCAATACCAGCTGAAAAAGAACAGAAAAAGTCAAGGCGAAAGCTGAATACACAGAAGTAAACAAGCAAGTGAAGAGGAGCTTCAGAACCGACAAACGTAAATATGTGAAAGATTTAGCAATGATGGCGGAAAAGGCTGCAAGAGAAGGAACATGAGACAACTGAATGACACGACAAAGAAACTCTCTGAAAATCACCGTAAACCAGAACGACCAGTGAAAAGCAAGGATGGCAAGGTAATCATCAACATTGACTAACAACGAAACAGAGCACTTCAAAGAGTTATTGAGTCGTTCAGCCACACTGAACCCACTCAACATCGAAGCAGCACCCACTGACGTCCCAATCAGTGATTGCCCACCAACATTTGAAGAAATCAGCATGGCCGTCAGGCATATTAAGAGTGACAAAGCAGCAAGGCAAGACAAAAGTTTATCAGAGGCACTGAAAGCAGACGTAGCGGTGAATGCATGGATAAACCACATTCTCTTCAATAAGATTTCCGATGAGTAACAAGTACCAACAGACTGGAAAGAAGGACATCTGATCAAGATTCCAAAGAAAGGCGATCTCAACATCTAAGATAACTACAGGAAACGTCTTCAACAGGGTATTGGTTAGCGGAATGAAAGACTGCGTAGACGCCCAACTTTGAGATCAACAGGTAGGATTCCGTAAGGGTAGATCGTGTATAGACTAAATCGCAACTCTACGGATCATTGTGGAACAATCAATTGAGTTAAATTCATCACTCTATATCAACTTCATTGACTACAAAAAAGCATTTGATAGCGTGGACAGAAGAACACTATTTAAGCTTCTTTGACACTACGGCGTACCAGAGAACACAGTCAGTACCATACAGAATTTATGTGATGGATTAAACTGCGGAATCGCGCATAGAGGACAGTTGACAAAGTCGTTCGAGGTAAGAACCGGTGTCAGGCAAGGTCGCCTACTCTCACCCGTCCTCTTTCTCCTGGTGATCGACTGGATAATGAAGAAATCATCATCTGAAGGGAAACACGGGATACAGTGGACATCTAGGATGCCGTTGGACGATCTAGACTTCGCATATGACCTGGCCCTCCAATCCCACACAAAATTGATGATGAACCGAATATAATCCGAAAAACGCTTCTGTAATATTTTCTCCATCCCATGGGCATTGAAAGCAATCTGAAACCGGGATGTTTAGTCAGAATATCTCCCACTGTTCAGAGGTGACAGGGCAGCTAAGACACCAAAGAAGAAACGTACAAATCCTCGAAAAAAGTCTTTTCTAATACACAGCTCCAAACTGTTTTATCTACCATGAAAGTCATTCAGGGAAGTCTTAAGAAATAATTGCCACCTCTGGCCACCACAATATTGATCCACAAGTTTGCTTACTATCGTGCAGCAGTTTGTATCTGTACCTGATGAACGAATATCCGAGCACCACTCTGTATGGTTATCTAAAGGGATGAACAAATCAAGCAACAAATCAGTTCTCAAACACAGTCGATTCAGTTCACATCCATCACGCGAATCTCCATTCAAATTCCGTTACACAATAAATAGAACAGACTCAAAAACGTTTAAATGAGGTCGACGCTCTAGCAGGAGAGCAGTAGTCACGTTTAATCTATTGCTGATTACTACTTTCGTCTTCCTCTTCACCTCATCCTATTCATCATCATCAATTGAATCGAAAGTTATCTCCATCTTTTGTTCCATAGATTGTTGTTTTGAACTCTGCCAATACTATTACACACTGTTTGCTACGCCGACAAATGACGAAACCTATTTTATTCAGCACTCGAAGACCTAGATTACAATGAAATAACACCCCTCCATTTATAAATTATTGTATCAAATACTTGAAGGTTCTTGATCACATCGACTATTTATATGCGCAACACAATTTCCTATCGATTGATCCCCACATAAATGAGTCAGGTCATCTGCAATAATTCTGCAACATCCATCTCTTATATCACACACTAATACATGCAAAAACATAACCTGGAAATACAATCGGGCAAATTCAGGAATCCATATCGTCAAGAAGATAAGTTTCTTCATGAAACATCTTCATTAGTTTTATTGACAATTAGTGATATTCAAAGATACGGCGAAGCATGATTTCAGTTCAATCATGATTATCATTGATTGTTTGTTGGTTTATCTATTTGTATTTCGTCTTCTCTACTTTGATCAAGCAGACAATCATGTTTCACTTCTCTACTTCATTTCAGACCACAATGTGTTTGGTAACTAAAATATATGGTTGGAAGGATTTGGAAGATAGTATTGAACCATAGGAACGTATAATTTTCGATAAACGTCCTTTGTTTGGCCTAAACATACACATGCTTCTTACGTGCTCCTAAATGTGTTTGGATCTTTGAGACTGTCACTTGACGATGAACAGCCTTTACTTGGCTTCAACACATCATGTACTTCTAACGTCTTCCTAAATCTATTCGGGTTAGGGACTGTCACTTGACGATTCAGTCAAGTTCACTTAGTTGAATATTACACATGATAATCGCATCTACTTCAATTCTACTTATCTCATAAGCGTTGTCTAACAAGAAATATTCTTTTAAAAAATACACTGAAATAGTGGTGCGAACCATCTGAATATTTCTGATGACCTCAGTTGTTTGTAGAAATTTCAATAATTATACTTTCTCTTCATCTATCACCTCATTATATTTAATTAATCAAATAATATGAAATTCTCTATTGTGTAGTGGGCGTGATATGAAACTTTGTTAGAATAGAGAATACCGCTTTCTAATTATGTGTTAATGTGACTGATGGTCATCTACTCACACAGAACAGAGATGAATGGAAGTCTCATTTTACAAAACATTCCTGCTTTTGTGAAAAACAAGTAAATTGAAAACAAATATTTTGGCAGTCAATTCATAGTTAGTTTTGCTTCAGCTATGAATAAACACTGTAACCATTTACTATCTAAATTAAAGTGAGTCTAATGGTCGTTTTCTCTTAGAATCATCATTATATGCAACCATATTCGCAGTATGGTGTTGTTAAGCTATCGATTGAAATCATGACTCGATGAATATTAGCCTATCATTGGAAACGTAGACCACTGGACCATTATCTTACATACATCGATTCTGATATCTTTGAACAACTTATCAATCCCCACAACCCTACCTTGATGACTATTATGTGCTCACTGTTAACTAGCTCGTTCCGGGTATTCTCGAAATTCTTGTGAGCAACTGCGACCAGTCGAGATATTCCTTTCAGGCAGAGACAGGTATCCACCTCAGACATTGATGCGTGGTTGCACATCTTCGCGGATTTGTTGAAATTAGACACCGACACAATTGAATGCCAAAATAGGTGGTCTAGAGGTTAAGCATTGGCGCGCCAGACCAAAGATCCTGTGTTTGAATCCCGCGTGCGGGATTGTGGATGTGCACTGCCGAGAAGTCTCTCACTAAGACGAAACAGTTGTTCAGTGCCTCCAGGTTTTCAATAATAGTCTAATATTCATCAAATAATATTCTCAATAGAAATAAAGTTCAAATGTTAGTGCCTTTTTGACATCCAATGGAATCATTTTGTGCCACTTTGATCTTAACCAATCAAGTCAAATTAATGCGTCATTGACAGCCCATTAACAGATTAGTACACGTAAGAAAGTGTTTGTTCGTGAACAAGTGAGAATACATTTTGCACTACAAATAAACCAATCACTTATTTTAAAGTATTGCCAATCATATCCAATAACATTTTCATCAGCAGAGGTCAGGAATTTCAACCAATGATGGATAAATATCTGCCTATGTCCTTGATAGCTACAAAGATATTGGATAATAATGGGTTCATCTAGCCAAATGATTGGTTAACAATGAAAAGATGATTTTATGAAATTAGATCTTTGCAATGGTTACTTTGAATCATAGAATCAGAAAAAAACAAATATACATTTGAAAAATCTATATAAACCTGACAAGTTCTAGTAAAATTGTTTCACTATTTTGAACGAGAAAATGAGGTGAGTGTTGACTGAACAAACGAAGTTATTGTATGTTCTATATGAATTTCGGTTTGATTCAACGTGATAACATTGTTTTGTTCATATCAACCATTTTAGATATACTTCTTCATCTGGTCTATTGATACCGGTTTATTTGGCCGTCATCGTGCTTTCCCAATCCTTCGACTGTCAAGATATCTGCAAACACCCTGGATTAGGGATATATGAAAATGTGACTTCGGAAAACGGTTCATACAAATATGTAAGTATACAGTCAGATTCTAATGCACATACACAGTCTCATCATTATTACTACTCACGAAGAATACGTCACGATCAGCCGTATCCAGTTGTTAGTGACAGTTTTAAAAAATTTAGTACCACTCAGGTGAGTTGACTACATTTTGTAATCGAATTACTAATTCTTATGTTTGCATCTTTTAAGAATGTTAAGCCGAAATTTTCGTTTAAATACTACGGTAATAACGTCACTACATTTGAGATTCTTCGTTATGGTAAGTTCTTTTATTTCAATTAAAATTGTTATTGAGTTTTGTTCATCACAATTCATTCCATGAATCAAGTTTGCTATAACTTCTTCAATGAATCAGTTTTATGCTTGTTCTCACATTCAAAACGTTTCTTTCGTGTTGAACTTATCAAACGTTCAATGTCTTACAGCAAACTAATTAAAGTTCATGAAATTCATTTTTGTCTCCAATTCATTTCAAAATATTTCATTCATTCACTATAGAATTTCAATTAGATTGTATGTTTTCATTAAATATAGGTACAATAAGAATATTCGGAGAAAACGAAATCGGAACGATATATCATGCTTATTTCGGCAAATTTTTTCCTGAATATGAGATGGTAGTTAACAGTGAGTTTTTCTATTATCCAGCAATATTTTCTTTTGTTTGTTCTCACACACTTGTTGAGCATAAATGGTTTAGTATTTAGCTTGATTATTGCATGAAAGCTGACCAGTTTACAGTGATGATATTGTTTCTGTGATTTGATACCACAACATGTGTTCACAGCACGTATTCATTACTGTCAAGTTAAAATATTAAATAAACACAGGGAGTCACTACAGAATAAACACAAATCGATTCAGTAGAAATTATAAACCAAATGATGTGGTTGCTGAGTAAAAATGAACTGTTATCTAATCTATTTAAGAAACAATCGGAGAGATGTCTCACCGATGTGATACCTCTGTCTAGATTAAATGAATCAAATTGATCGCATGTGTAACACTAAGCAATGTTGTTCAACAGGTCAGTTTGAGTCATTAACTTTATGAACTGTCAAATTATACTTGACGTCTTCCAACTCTTTTCTGACATTTAGTTGATTCATGAAAGTTAAATATATCTTAGTCGCTATCTGTGAACCATTGGATGTTTAACACTTTTTAGATTATCCTGTTTATAAAATAATGACATTAAAACCCACGCCTTTCATTACACAATTGATCAACGAATGATGATTGTTCATTTAAATGTACCGGTTTACTTAAATCTCAGAAGGAAGAAGGAAGGTGATAACTCGTCTGCCAATACATTTTTTTGTTAGAATGTATATTTATTAAAAGAGGTAGATATTCATTATGCAGATATACAAATGTCTTTTTGATTTTCATTTCTTTCAGATGATTTTATTGCTGTCAAATGGCAATTTCAGATGTTTTCTGGAGGTACATATAAGTGAACATTGAATGATCATTTGATATCATATGAGATCTTAACACTTAAAACTACTCTATGTGTTTGCTCAAACCTGCCTGTTCAGTTTGTGTAATTCAATTTTTCCCAATGACTGACAGAAGTAGGAATACATAACGCTTTTGCAAAATGAGGGTGGACTTGTACATGGAATCCATTGATTAATTAATCACAATGATAGAATATATTGCCCAGAATTGTATAATTCTCGGGTTCCGAAGACTAAACAGATGACATTCATTTTGAATAAATTGTGTTCGTATGTTTTGCATGAAGTCCACTTGATATTATTTATAACGAATTCAACGAAGGAAAACATTTGAGATATTACGGTATATATTTGCTTAAATTGGATATTTTTTGTAAGTAGTCATATACACTGTCAGACCTAACAGTAACAAGCTCATCATCATTCCCTAAGAATTCTAAATATCAATAGTCTTTTGTTTGCAGATCATATAATCAAGATAACTAATGTGATACATTCCAGTGGGAAGATATCCCTCTATTATGAGGACGTAAGTTGTAAATTTGAATTGAAATAAAATTTTGTTTCAAGTACTATAGCTTAATGCACTCTTTCTTGCGTATCATTAATGTGAAATGTATCAAGATACATTGAATACGACAGAAAGGGGTCAACTTTTGTAATGTGCAAACGGACTATGTGACACTATTATTATTCATTTAATGACACACACTTTAATGTCCCACTTGCTAAAAACAGTGAATAATTAGAAGTGAAGAGTCATCAAAAGAAACGATGTTGTCTCTTCGCGACAGATAAGGACAAACGGTGTACTTTAGAGTACAGCACGGAAACAGTCATATTATGACAGGATTTATTTCATCTTCTGGGGATAAGATGTTCGGAAAGTACATTGCAGAATATTTAGAGGGATTTAGTGTTTAAACTGTTGATTGTTTCACAGTGTCTATATTTTTGAATATCAGTGTTTCATACTTCCACTAATTCTTTTCAGAGCTCCACGAAAAACGGGGAAAGTTCAATAAGCTCTATTATCGAAGGTGTAATTGAGTGTGGAAAAACGTTGAAAGGTAACAACTATTTCTGGTATTTTGATGTAAAGTAACCATGTCGACAGTTTTCTGTTAACGCAATATTACTTTCCATTCGTACACGGTCATCTGCTTTTCAACATAGTAAACTGCCGTTTTCGCTCACAGTGATCATTTATAACTGTATTACAGTCTGCAATGATTAGTTGATTTGAATGTAAGACAAATCGATTGAACTGCATTTAAAGCGTTGAGGATAATCGTGAGGGATAAAGTCGAAATACTTTTCGTAAAATCACTATCCAAAAATTACTGTAAACTGGATATGAACCATGATGTGTGAATATCATTACAGTAAAATTATGGATAATTATTGGAGAATGCTTACACATACATTTAACGATGGACTGATCCAGACAGGGATATATGAACGACAATATTTGACAGACCATATATCTACTGATTTATTCACTTGCTCACTCACTCGCTCATTCAAACAGTCCCACTTGAAGTCCTTAGTCATATCACTACTCAATGCAAAAAGAAATGTTATTTATCAAAGAGAAACAAAAGAGTGATGCTTGTGACTGATATCTGTTTTATACAATGCTCAATCTTCATGCCATACTGAAGTGATCATGTGTTGTCTTAAGATCAAGCTGAGTTTCAAGATAAGCGTTTAGTGAAAGCGATTTGATGGAATACAATGTTTTGTCATTAAATGTGAGACAATGTAGTAAATATTTGGTCAAACGGTATACACTGATCGGTTGAAATATGTTAGTCTTTCAACAGTAAATCTAAATGTTGACTATGTGTCATTTGAAATGTCGAAAGAATTGTACCGAGTTGAACATGTTTCTTGAAGATGTTGCACTGAGAATGTTTTAAAATGAATCAGAAATTCAATATGATCATCTTTCATTTATGAGTTAAACACTGGCCACTTTCCATATCAGTAATAATGTTGAGCATGTTTTGTGAAGATTTTGTATGAAAAACACTCTATCTGTAATCAGAAATTTTTAAGTCTTAATTTTACGGGACATGAAATGATGAAACGAATTGTTATTTAATTCATGAGAAATCAAAATTTTAAGTGTTTTCTTTCAAAAAATGTATTTCAGATGTGAGAATTGCTCAAGTAAGAACTCCCGGAGAATGGATGAAAAACGACACGTTAGTGGAGATTGAACCTATCAAGAGTATGTTAAACCTTATTTAATCAACATTGAATATTTCCGCACTTGAATATATCACTTCTATTTCATCATATTTTAAATTCCAAGTGTAATTTTATTTAGCCATTTAACGATATCCAGTAGTGTTTCTCTGTTGACGCTTCCCTTGCTATTTATTATTACACGTCGATTTGCTGTTGGATATTTCAAATGATTGAGGACTCAATTTGAACTACTACAGAAGTCTTTACTTTCACCAAATTTACAGATATGAGAGAACCTGAAATAACAAGCCCTGGAGAGTGGATAACAAGTGACACGTTAGTGGAGCTTAAACCTACCGAGAGTATGTTAAAGCTTATTTAATCAGCATCGAGTAGTTTCATTTCTAAAATTTCGGCTTTGCCATGCTTGTTCGATAAATCGAAGGTGTAGACAAGTCATGCGTTCAAATTGCAATTTATCATAGTCGATATATATGTAGAGTAACAAAATAACTGACGATTTACACAATATAACAATGTTTTCTTTCTCATGATTATGTAAAGTGAGTGCCTACAGACACTTTTCAGTTCATTGATTCTGCACTTTACACATGCAGAAACGGTATACAAAATATAGATTGATGATAAAACTGATATCAGTTACACATTTTTTTATTCACGTATCTTTTGTTTGATAACTTGAAATGCCGTCTCCCTAATTTGTTTCACAGTAAGTTGTTCAATACACAATTCCATTGAAAAATGCCAAAATGCGACAACATCAAGTGTGAAATGTATCTGGTATGAAAAAGCTAATATGTGCATTAACAGCGATGATAATGATGTTAAAGTAAGTAATTGTCAACATTCATAGATTGTTTACAACATTGTTATATTCCACATTGTACATCCGATTACTTGGAAGAAAATTTTATTACTACGAATAAGTTTTGATTTCATGGTAACAACAAACAATGAACAGAAACGTTGTTTAACACAAATGCATGGAGTCATATTAATTTTTGAGCTCACTGAGCTTGTAGTGACTTCAGAAATCCAATATGAAATCGTATGTCAATATGAATTGCCATGAATCACCGATGAAATCGGTTTGAGTAATGAAGCGTATTCCATTGGAAATTGTATATTATGTTTGGATAATTAGTGAAAGTTTGTAGACTGTCGTTATTAAAGTGCAGAATAAAGGAATCAGTGAAATTCACACCGAAGAAAAATTTCAGAAAAATACTGCATCAACTGAACCTTATTCGGTGAATATTTAATATTTAGTATTAATGCTACTGTTTCGTTTCTCTTTCAGAACACCACCTCCGAAATAACTGAACACAATAATCATAATAACACATCTCGTTACTTGTATATCGTGATACCAGTAGTCGTCGTCGTCGTCGCTTTCTTTGTCATCTGCATCGGATTTGCTACTTGGATGTATAAAAGAAAGAAGAGTAATCTATGATGTACAGAAACGTCTTCTAGTTTGTTATTATTATTTTGATCGAATTGTTTTATTCTGTATTTCATTCGAAAACTTTACATTTTATTAACCATTTCAATTATTTAAACAAGTTTTATACAATTTTATGTTTGTTCACGTATCAACTGAAGTAATTCGGTTGATTAAATAACTGAAATCGTTTTTAATTATTTATGTGACTTTTTGTCTTTTTCATTTAATAAAAAGCTGAATTATACTATAAGAGTTTTACAGCGTTTATTTTAGAAATGAGCAGTATTCTATGATCATTTCAATCAATAATGCATCCGTTGTGAATGTTCATTTTGATGGAGTCTCACCATGGGAAAATTGTTATAAACTGATCAGTCAAAATACCATACCAGTTGAGCGTATACTCACTTAGGACTGAAGAACAGTGTGGATTGAATAAAGTAGTAACAGTCCAACCGTAGCATCACTAAGATGACAGATTTGAAAAACAAACACTATGGTGTTTCCACCAGTTGATGATCACTTCATTATACACTATTTATTTAATAATTATGCTCACTCACACGTAATTACGAGAAATGATATTGCAAATATTCATTTGTATTGTTTGGTTGAGTCCTTCCGTTGATGTTTACGACTGCAATTGATCAGTCGTTTCATAATATATGTTCGCCGTGTGGGAGTTACCTCAATCTAACCATTATGTTGCGTGTAATGTAAACGGGGATGGATGATGGCTAGCAGTGGAATGCAAGTCACGCGTCCCATTGTCATATTTGAGACTCGTCAGCTGGATGTGCCTGCTTCACACAGTTGATGTTCACTCCCATACTTTAACTCAATGCCGTTCACTGCAAACATCGTCGCGTCATCTACTTAGCATCTAAGTTTGGTTACACACTGGTTTTTACAAACAGCAGCATGTATAGGTGAGCACAGATTTCGTGAATGTTTATCGTGTAGCCAAAAGTATTCTCAGAAATCATGCCCTTTCGTGATATCGACTGCTGAATGCGTGACAGAATATCTTCAGCCTCTACCATCCTGCACGTTCGCTTCAACAAACGCGAGTCTAGTGTTAATCTATAGTCACTACATATCCTAGGAGCCTTGCCATTGTACTTCAATGATGTAACAATAGGAGTACCCCATGCTAAAAACTGAATCGGCTCAATTATACTTTTCGCACACAAATCGTTCAATGACTTATGTACTGCATCTCGAAGACCATAAGGAATTATTCGTGTTTTAAGAAAGGCTGGATCACCCTCAATCGCACTTATCACACACAGCTATCAAATATATAAGTAAAGCATCGGAATTTCCTTTGAAAACTAGTAAAGACATCTCCACTTTAACCTTTTCAAATTTTTTTAAACGCAGTATTCACAGTCATGTATGGCTAAAGTCATATCTTATTAGCAAGTCACGGCAGATCGTGTGGACATTCTATGTAGAGTAATCCCCTATATTGAGACTATAGTGGGTCGCACCGCAACGATAGGATCTAACAATTTCACGTTCTTCAATGAAATAATCTACTCTATAATGCCTGTGTCCATAACCAAGACATGAAACGAACCATGGGGTAACATATAAACGCTTTTGAATATGAGCATTATCGTTCAAATTGGTAGATAAATATAAAGCATCATTGGTAACAACCGAATTAATGGGACCAAAATTACAAGGTTTAGTTCTGTTTTTGATGATGTCCATAGCAGATATTTCAGGCAAGGCTCACGTTTTGATGGTCGGATATGCATTCGTACATGGTGCACTGTGAAAAATTGTGAAAGATATCATAGGTTGAAAAGCCATCTTTCAAAATTGACTCGTTAGCCAGTGTGATCTGATGTCTGAGAATGAAATCATCCAGATTATTGTGGTCCATTTCTCGGTAAACACTACACACTTGTGATCATTGGTTCTCTGTGGTGCATGAAGCTTTCTCGCAATTGATGATTTATTCTGTAAGCTAATATTCTTCGCCTAATTTGAAATCCAAAAACATTACATCTAGATTTGCTGAATATGCCCTTCTTGATTTAGTTTTGGACTATATGTAACCACAAAAGTGTTACTAGTCAATATTCCGAAATCCGTTAATTGTGTTAATCACACACAAGCATTCACTGCGTATTAGCTCAGAATATTAAAGAACTGAGTGATATCAACCTATCAGTGGCTGATATACTTGTTTATGGAATAATGCACAGTTCTTATCAATCATTAGTGTTCTCTAATTGTCAAATACACTTCTGATTCTGTTGATCTGTGATGAAGTTTATCTTATATTATCCAACCAGTTATCGAAATTATATTAAGATCATTTTCGCTTTTAATTTAAGGCGTGAACAACAATGATTGTAATTAATAAATGTGAGTTTAAGGAATAGGCATGAG